ATTATTTTTAAATCAGTGAAAATATTTATTGCTGGACAGATTTTTCACAAAAATTAAATCTAAAATTTATTAAAATGTACTACTTTTCAAAGAGCCTAAGATTAAAGTGTGTTTTGAATTTAATAACTTCATCAATAAGCTATTAAGAGCTAACATAATAAACAAAATTATAAAAAAAATAATTCAATTAATGTTTAATTGTATTCAAACATACAATAAAGCTTTAATTGCAATTCAATACATTGAAAGGCATAAGAGAAATCGATTCTTTTTTTGCACACAATAAAATGTTAGTTGTCTATGATAAATTCACATAGAATGCATTGTATACACAATAATAAAAATAGCTTTTTGTTTGTGGCCTGGCTATCGCTTAATCAGAAAGGCCAGTTAAGTGGCAAGTGTATTCAATATTTAAATGGCTTATTGACAAACCATTTGCCAAATTGCCAATCGAACGATAATGCCAGACAATTGAAATTCATACGGAATTTGTGATAAAATTCAAAGTAATTGAGGCGAAAACGCATCATACATCAACCGCAGACGTTTCGCCAATTAACAAATCCCTGATTGGTAAAAGTGTAAATGTATAGAACAGCAGGCTTAAAGGATTCCAATTGTTTTCTGAATGCTTGCGATAAGAAATAATAAAATATTTAAAACAAAAGATGTTGCTGAACAATGTAAAAGTTGCAACAAAGTCGGGCAAAACTATCTGTCAATTTGCATGAGTTTTATACCTGCCACACTTTATTTCTTTTCCTCCAAAAGGGAAACCTTTTGCACGAAGAGCGCATCAAATCAATTTCGGTATTTTTCAAATAAAAATCATACGTAGGAAAGTTGTGCTTCTCTGCTCTTCTTCTTCCTCCACACTTCCGCTTTGCTCATGTTTACAAAACGGAAATGCCCGTAAAAGTATGCCATAAAATTTGTATGGACAGGACCACGCATCAACAGCAATTGAGCATTTGGCCGAGTTGCGAGTGGAACGAGAATATATATATATATATATATATATCCAGCATATTGTACAAAGGAATAGCTTCTGTTTTTTGTGTGCGAGATGGGGAAAAAGTTTATGGTAAATAATTCAAATGTTTTGCGTTCTTCTAAAAGCGCTGTCTGTCAGAGTTTTTTGTTTGTTTCGCTTGCTTTTTATTATGACAGGTTAAATTACAAAATGTTAGAAGGGAGTGCCTACTTAAAGGAAGCTATTTAGTATTTACTCAGCGTCTTGTTAGTGTAAAAAAAATCTATATATCTTTTTACAATAAAATAAAGCTTTGTTGAACCTTTAATTTCCAAAAGCCAAATCCCTATTACCCCTAAAACCATCCACAACTTGGCAATGTCGAGTAAACTTATTGAATGGCACCGAACTCAGTTGCTGTTCACTTGCCAGCGATTTTGACAGTTTGCTAAATTACGCGACATTAACTTAATAGACTTCAATATATATATCGGCAGACATTTGGCAGCTGCAGTCGTCGTAAGTTGAAAGCTGCACGAAGCACGAATAAAAGCCACAAGGCAGCAAAAGTCCCAGAGAATAACGAAAAAATACAGCACAATAACAAATAGGAGTTTGCACGAGTAAGTGTGCAAACGGAACAATCTATATGTCGAGTTGGAAAAAACCCATACAATATATTTTCGTGTATCCCTTATCGACTTTTGCCTTCCAACTTCTTTTCTTGGCAACAAGGGCATGTTCTGCTTCTTCTCCCTCCGAGTGGCTGTTCTTTTTCAGCTTTTCTGGGGTAATATAAACTTTGATTGAGCTCTAGGCAGTCAATTTACAAGATGGCTGACCTCCAAACAAGAAAATATCGGGCTTGCCATAATTTTTAAAGCACACAATCGAGGGCGCTTAATGCACTTCCGTTGCACACCCATTGCATTTGAGTGGGTGTGTGTGTGTGTGGGGGGTTTCGGAGTGTTGGGCTGACATAAGCAAAAAAAATGAGAGCAGGAACATGAGGGGGTAATGCTTCGAAAGGACATACTCTTTCTGCAGGAAAATAAAGTCATGGGAATTTTTTAATTAAAATTCTTTTATAACTTCACAGTGTTCCCGCTTTCTTACCAAAATATTTCTGTTTATTTTGGCAATCATTTTCTTATTACTTATAAGTATTATCATTTATTTAAATATTCTTAATAAATAAACAAACTAAATTTACCAAGGAATTATTTTATTTTTTAATATTTGCATGATGACACCAATAACAAAGTCGTTTTTAATAATATAGAAATAAAACTGTAAGACTTTCTAAATTTCTTTATAAAGAGTAATGGCTAGATACTTGACTTGACTTGAAAAAATACAATTTTTAGTTCATAAATTCCTTTAACATGATCATTGATTGAAAGGAACTACACATTAATGTATTTTATAAACAATAAAGCTCTTGTTCCGGTTTTTTTTACAATATACAACTGGCATGCAGGCATATACATCCTATGTTTATAACAATTCTTGATTAAAATGCCATGTTTCTCTGAAGTATCTCAAACTATAGACAAAACAAAGATTCCTATAAAATTCCTATGAAATTATACAATTTTATAGATTTGGAGGAATGCATGAATTTAGAATACCCCAAGCAAATAATATTTTAAGCAAAAGCGAACTTTAAGTGTAACTAAATTCCTTAAAAAAGATTAATATTGCAAAAGCAATAGACTGGAACCACTTACCATACTTAAAGCATATCCTGTATTTTAAGGAGGACCACTTGTCACTCTCAGCTCTTCTCCAATGATTTGCATTCGCCACTCCTTCGCAAGGAAAGCGTATTAAAAACTGTCACAAGAGGGGGTGAATCGGGTGCCATAAAGTGGGTGTGTGGGGGAGGTGTTTAAAAAAATTGCATGTGCAGCAGAAATTAGTGGGGCCATCGACAACCCCTCCACATCGCTGCTTGCTGGCTGTCTGGCTGACTGCCTCTGCGTTGCTGCTTATGCTGCGTTAAGCAATGAAGCAGCACGCACACAGATACACACGGCGACACAAAAGGAGGTCCTTGCACACACAGATGCACACAGATACACACCCACACAGCCACACACTGTGGCAATCAACCCTCTCCGCTCTCGTATATCACTCAATGTTATGGTTATCAGCAACTGTTGTTGCTGCTTCCGCCTGGCATTGCAGTTGCTGCTGCATGTTGCATGTTGCTGGTGTTGCTGCTGCTGCTGTCTCTTGTTGTTGCTGCTGCAACGGCAGACACTTGAATTTGCTAACAATGCACGATGGCGTTAACATTGTTGTTGTCGTTGTCGTTGTCGTTGTCGCTGTAGTTGCTAGTTGTCAAAGTTGTTGCCATTGTTGTTGCTGCTGATGCTGCTGCTGCTGCTGCTCCTGTTAGTTGGCATCCATAAATTCTAATATTAATGGCACGAGGGGCGGACTATATCTTCGTCGTGCTCCATTCCAGCTGCCTTTGATGCTTCCCCTTTCATGTAAATGTCAAGCGAAAGGCAAGAGCCCCCATTGCGAATTTCCCTGATTGCGGTTGCATTGCCAGATATTTATTTTTATTCGGTAAACATATTTTTTACACAATTTATTTACTCCCCAAACGCACATACCGATTTCCATTTCGGTCTGCTCCTTTGCCTTTCTTTTCCCCAACTCGAAATCCAATTTAAGGGCGAGTGCGATGAGTTTATTTTAAGTAGTTTTTCCTGCAAATTCCCTGAAGCATTTGCTGCGTTCGCCTCAAAGACCATTAAAATTCAATACACAGACGAACATAAATTCGATAAGTTTGAGAGCGGGGCAGCAACATGTTTTATTTTGGTCCAGCCACGTGCGTATATAACATGCTGTACAAAGTGAAAAGGATGCATATAAATTCAATAGAGCAAACATGCGAATGCCACCGGCAACAGACTCACACATACCACATCGAAATAATAAAATAAAACTTTATTGACACAAACACAGAGCTCCCCCAATGGACGTGTTTCACCCACACACCATCTATATACATATACACAGAGAAATATTCAAGAACATTGTTCTTGAATTGAGAACATTCGTTCTTAAGCACATTTTGAGTTCAACGTTCTCAATATCAGAAAAAAATTATGAGAAGAAAAAAGGTTAATTAAGTTTTTTGTACTTTTGACTGGACTTATTGTTTAGTTCTTGGGATTAACAATGTAAACACAGTCAATTTAACTTAACTCAAGCACTTTGAGAACTTTTTCAACTTAAAAAATGTCCTTATATACTAGAAAACTTTTTCAAATCATATGATAACGTCAGAATTCTCTTTGTGTAGAAATACATATATCTCTATATACACTATACAGCACCACGTGTCGTATGGGTTGCCTCACACGAACAGACAAATGTATGCATTTGTAAATATTGTTGCTATTTGATAAAAACATATTGACAAACATTTGCCGAATCGAACCTCTAAACAAATTGTGTAACTGTCTCGGCAAAAAATTGCAGAAATAAAATGCATTTCTCACCACTGAGCCAGCGAGGCACAATGCGAAAGAGGTAAAAAGTGTGTTGACAGTGGTCCAGACATTGTTGCCAAAATATTGCAGGACAAATTGCGAGGGAAATAATATGACACTTGGGTGGTTTTTGGGGAATGCGGAAATTTATCCGCAGCAGCCGGATAAATAAATTGATTTTTGGAGTTTCATATTGAATTGATTGGTAAATATCAAAACAATATATTATATCAGACACAATGCATATTTTTTAGGAGCTCTTTAAGATTAAACATCAGAATGATAAACAAATTATCTTCTACGTAATACCATATATTTTTCTTTAAAACTTTTTACTGAAAGTATATGGCTCTCATAATACGAGTGCAAATTACTCAAACGTATCTCTGGGTACGCAATAATTTATTAAGTTGGGTTGCTAGGATGGGTGGCGAAGCTTGTATAGTAATAGTGAACTAAGCTTAAAACTTATTCGAATTTTATAGAAGCGACTTTATTCATTTATTATTAAAGGTTCTGCGTTCTAAGCGCAAAAACCAATTTACTTTTAATTTATTTAAACATTCATTGACAACCGTGCCCCTCTTTTCACCTCCGCCATTTCGAAAAAGCTCAGACAGCGATTGCTTGTACTTATCTATCTGGTTAGTCGATTGTATTTTTTGATCAAGACTCTGATGGTATAGCTAGGGTCTCCAGTTTGCCAATGGCAAAGGGTTTTTTGGCATAGAAGCGAGAAACTCCAGAATCCAGATTGTTTGACCCAGATATACGGATTGAAATCTATATAATACGCGTCGCGCAGCAATCGAAAACATACTGTATAGATAGCATTTGTCGAATGCAATCGTACGATCGAGCCAGTCCAATTACTTTCACCTCCTCCATTTCGAAAAGCTCTGAAAACGGTTGCTTTTGGTTATCGACTTAGTTGATCGAATTCATTTTGGCGCAAATCTCCAGTTTGCCGAGGGCAAAGGGTGCTCCTTAATGGACTTAGCGAAGAAGCGAGGAACCCCAGTGATTTCAGCTACCAGCACATTCTGATTACGACTACATAGTGTCCTTTGAATCCAATCGTCTCTATTGGCATGGCAGGTCGGTGGAAAAGTCGACGGGTAGGTGCCAAAACATGTACAAAATTTTGCCACAATGGTTCTCTATGTAATCCTTCGAGCAGTTGTCCATGTAAACTACCAGTTCGTAATTGATGTGCCCGTCGAAGAGTACCTTCCGTGCATAGTCCTCGGAGCAGGGGTCAAGAGCAGTCTTTCGAACGACGCACCATTTACTCAGATCCAGACCGCAGTTCTGCTTCTCCATGATGTTGAAGATGCGGCACAGCTCTCGCTCGACGACCATGGGGATGACGAAGGAACACCTGACCAGCTCAAAGTGCTTTATAAAAGTGGTGCACAGGTAGGGTGGGTTCATAGGTCGCATGGCACGCAGGAGCCAGTCGCTGGTGTCGCTGTCCCTGGACACCATCAGCAGGAAGCAGTCAAAGGACACGGCAGGAGTACACTCACTGAAACTGAGTGTGGCCACATCAACCGCCGAGTGGAATGATTCCATAAGGTGCTGCAGGACGCAGACAACGTTGCAGTCGCACGGGTCGCACTGGTTGGTGATCACGACCCCGTAACGACGATCCTCTGGCATGACCCTGGCGTAGGGAGGACGACCCTCTCCGCCCTGGTCACAGCAATTGATTTGGCAGGGATCTCCGCATCCTTGCTCATTCACGGTGGAACGAACACAGGTCGAACTCGGGGTCGGGGTTGACATTTCGGAGCCACTGATACTTGAAGCAGAACTTGAGGCTGAGGAGCAGCCGTCTTCCAAACCGACGAACTCGGACTGAGCGTCCTGAGGCTTTTCGTTTTTCTGATACATCGTTGAAGATGAGGTCGACAGAGTCTCCTTAAACTCCATTTTGTCGCGAAAACGCAAAAGACAAACCAGCTCTTTGCCGTCGAAGGCCTGTAAATCGGCTCTATTCCGGTTGAAGGCTTTGGCTACAGGAAAGTCGTCTGTAAGGATCTGACCGAGGAACATGATTACTTGTCGTTGAACAGGAATTTTGACACTTTTAAATAACTCAGATTTTAGTTTTGACACAGTAAAATTTGGAATCACGTTTATAAGAACTATATACCTAAACTTGTTAAGATCATTAAAAAATAACTGCAAAAACATGTTGGCAAAAATTTTACAAAAATAGGAAGTTGTGTACCGGACGAAGTGTGAAGTTGAACTGAATGTTAAACCTTATGGTTGAACGAACAAGGCCTTGAAGTTTCGTAGTTTGCCTACTGTGGTCACATATTTTAAAACTATTGAGTTTGTCTCCGAGATCTCAGCGTTCATACGGACAGACAGATTGACGGACATGGCTAGTTCGACATACTTCTCCCCGAATAAAAAATATATATTTGTATATTTTAGACTAGTTAGCACATTAGTTTCATCCCTGGAGAGCAAAATACTAAGCCCAAACGGGTGGAATAACATTAAATGATAATCTCTTCTGCCGCCTAAAGTACTCTTTTAACCGCTTATTTAATTTTGAAAAATTTCAGCAATCTGCATATCATAAAAGAACATGCAAAACACTCTTCCCGCTCTCCTTTTTTTCGGCCCCCAAAAACTTTTTATGGTTAAGCTCTCTGCTGCTTCTGCTGTTGGCTCATTTAACGAAACAATTAAAACGGCTTATGCACTAAACTGGCAAACACATTTATACGACAGAGCCGAAAAATCCCTGGGAAGTGCTGGGTGGTATCTCTATATAGTGGGTGGGTTTGGGGGCGAAAGTACCCGAAACGAGCTGAATTTGCATTTGCCGCCTAATAGAACTTTAATTGTTTTGCAAATGATTCAGGTCTGGGGAACTCTAGAACCAGCAGAGTCGTTTAAAACGCAACGAAAAGTTGGGCAAATTCTGGCACTTGGTCGCCCATAAGATATGCAAGTTTATTTTCCATAATGCAGAGGTACCAACAACGAGAATGGCAGCAACAACAATGAATGTTGAATGCAACTTGGCCAGACTTATGCTAAAACTTGTACTCGCACACACGTTATTGGCCTGATAAAGCGAACAGGCACGTGCGGCAGAAGGCAGCTCGTCAGTCTTCCTTCCTTAAATATGTGCACTGAGAAAAATCATTTAACCTCAATGAATCAGAAGTGCAATATCCTCTAAAACGCCTTCTGAAGATGTTTGACTTATAATTCAGCCATCAGCTATTGAGAAACGGAACGTTAAACATATCTTTTTATTTTTTTTAACGACATTTTTTAAAATTTAAACATTTTGTTTGTTTTTCAAAATTTATGTCTATACATGTAAAAAAAAAAAAGTATGATACCATATATTTTTTATTACATATGATATGAATATTTTCTTATAATCGTTTAAAAATTTTAATAAATTAGTTGGATTGATATATAAAAAAATATTTTCTTTTATGTTTATAGGTTGTCTATCAATGTTGAATTTGGACCTCAAACATCATTAAAGGGGCTAAAAGTATGCTCAAATAAGTTTGGAATATTCTGATTGATAAATGTCGACAAATTTTCATTGCATACTTTTAGACACCTAAAGAAGTGATTTCAAAACCCTTTCGATAAACCATCTGGCACACCCCAATATTTGTATTGATTTGGCTTTATATCATCTTGCAAATTAGGTACCTAATAAGCAATCAATCAATCATTTAAAACTCTTGCTTATTTACCAGCTATTTCTCTCAGTGCCTATCCTGCAGAGCAGGAAACGTGCGAGATTCTTAGGCAAATGGTTCACAGTTTTAGACATGTGCGCCCATTAGATTGAACGGCAGGATCAGCAGTCGGGATGTGTGAGGAAGTATCCTGCGAGGGGTTACCTGTATATGTATGCTGAGTATGTGTGTTCGTAGCACTACGGCCTAAGAGAACAGCGGTGCAACAGAAGCAGCAACTAATAAAAGCTTTATGACAAGGTCTCACGGAACAGCAGGAGATACTTGGGGGCAAAAGGAGGGATGTGAAACTTGGGGCATTGAACCATTGGGCCTATGGCGTACTTCCGCCCCCCCCCCCCACCCCCCTCACTACTTCCAGCGATTTCCTAGTCCGAGGAATGTCCTTTTCGGTCCCTTGTGTTTTGTATGTCTGTGAAAATATTTTCAAAGTCTTAACCTCACTGGGTGAGCAATCATAAATCAAATGCCACTGCGCCGTGCTACCTTTTGTTGCTTGAGTGCCCACACTCACACATACAGCACACACAAACACACACAAACACTCTAACTCACACACTGACACGCCACACACACACATGCCCAAGCTGTCGTCGTTCTGGTGTAGCTTAAATTTTATTTATGGCTGGCACCGTTCGATATATGTTTGTATTTGTGTGTGGCAACTAACACACCAAAAAAATGCGAAGCCTGAACATAAATAAGGAAAAAAATACTAACATACCTCAAAAGCAGAAACACATACACACACACATGGCAAGTTTATAAAGTTTCGTGTCTATCAACGCAGAATCCAAATCATTGGGTTCGGTTTTTCAGGCCTTTGTTCTGCCCCAGGCTCTTTAAAACCAGAGTTCATTGATCTAATTTTGGCTTGGTTCCAAGTCTAAACTTTAAAGACAGCAAAAATTTACTTTTTAACAAAAGTGTGAAAAAGTAGGCAATGCAATTTTTTGCATTATCAGCTTTAAAATATATTGATGTATACGTACACACACTCTATGATTAACTTCAAAATAAAAATTTTAAATTAAATTTATTTATTTTCTAATAAAAGTGTCCCAAAATATGGAATGAAATTCTTTGCATTATTAGCTTTAAAATATAATGTTGCATACTTTTAGACACTTTAAAAGTGTCCCACATATGGAATGAAATTATTTGCATTTTCAGCTTTAAAATATATTGTTGCATACTTTTAGACACTTTATGGATAATTTAAAATTTTAAATTAAATTGAGACGCCATCAAAATCTTTTCACTATTTACTTTTAAGAGTTTAAAATTTGCTGGACCAAGAATTATTAAAATGTATTCATTTAGTTAACTTTTGAAACAGCCCGGGCATCAGTTTCCTTAAATGTATCCACATATCTGCTAGTTTTGGGCACCACAAAAGCTGGCTACTCATAAAATGGGCACATCGCTGCACAGGGGACAACAAATAAGATGGACAATAAATAAGAATTGACAAATTTATTGCCCAGACACGGAATGTGTCGAGGAAACAGGGACAACGGGGCGGATGAGTCGAGTCGAGTCTGTCTGAGTGAATGCCTGATTGAAGCTGACACTTTGCCTGCCAGGGGCTGAAAACATTTTCCTGGCCCCGGAATGACTTTGTTTCAATGCCTGTCGACCTGTCTGCCAACGGATTCCATGAGCCGGGCTAAAAATGTGGATGTTCTAGTCATAATGTTGTGGCAGGCGAGACCTTTTTGCGCTTGCTGATTGGCGCATATTTTATATTTCTTGCAAACTACGCTTGCCATTTGGCAGTTGACAGTTGGCGCTTGGTGTGACCCGAAAATGGCGCAAAAATGTGTCACGTTTCAATGCCTGCCCATGCGGTTTTAACGCAATTAGCCACAACAAATTACCATCATCATCATCATCATCATCATAGTCATCCCAATCGCAATCCCCGAACCCAAACCCAGAGAGCATCATGATGAAGGCGAGTCCTGGCTGCTGGCACGTGAAACATGCGACTTTGGTTACACGGAATGTCCGTCCAGTGACCCCCATGCCACCCATGTTTGGTCCAGTTACCAGTTGCCAGTTACCCGGGAAAATCCTGTTGGAGGTGGCATGATATAGCCATGTGTGTTATATATGTGCGTAGAGCATTTGCGGTACAATGAACTGACAAGTGTAATTATGTTGTAGCTGCACTGGGCGGGTCTCCCGGTTTCTACAAAACCGCTGATTGCTAGTTTATATGAAGTGGGGTATCTAGAACCCCCACATACCAAGGAGCAAACGTGAGATATCCCAGCCCCAACCAAAATTGTTATCATTACCACATCAGTCTTAACTTATTTTTTGCTCAGATCCCTAAAAATGTTTTGTACCAAAAGTAAACACTCTCTAGTCCCCCTACTCTTTAAAAATAAATTAAATATATTTTATATAGGTATATTTTTGTATATAAAAGTTAACCAACTTTTTGTTTCATATAAAAGTTTTCCCAGCAATTAGCTGCTGAAACTCTCACCCTAAAACACTCACCAAACTCAGGCCTAATGAAAATTAGTTGGGGTCTGAAAAGCTTTGGATAATTATGGGGTGCCATATGGTAAAATCGGTAATTTCATCCCAAAGGTGCTCAATTTGCCTGGCTAAAATAGAGTCATTTGTATTTCATTGATATGACCAGACATAAAACTTCTAATTACTACATGTTCTGCACAATATACCAAGACTTCAGTCTTGATATGACTTCCAATTTCTAATTACTACATATACTTGACAATTTTCCCAGACTTAAGTCAATAAAATAAAACAAAGTTATATGAAAAACATGAATCCAATATCAACATATCATGTGCCCTGTATTTATTTAATTATTTTTTGGTTTTTGCAACTGGTTGAAATGCAATTTAATTGAAGCAGCATATTTGATTTTTCTCTCAACACTCACACACATATTTTATTTTCCGATTTACCACAAAAATTCATTTGGCCAGAACTTTTCATGCAATTCATTATTGCAATAAAAGTCAAGATATATATTTTTGGATAGCCATTGAGTGCTGTGTGTGCTGAGGTAAAAATTAAACTAAACCGACAAGATACTTTGTGGTATTTTTTGGATGGCAACTAGGAGGCATAAATATTCTACGGATAACCCAAGGTGTACAATATTTTCTCATCACATTTCATAATACAGGTTTTTGCGCCCCACATCCTGGCCATTTCCCACTGGGATGGGGGCGGAATGAAATGGGCGAGAAAGGACGAAAAGGACATCAAGAGGGAGACAACAAAGAGGCACTTTAAGTGAAACTAAACAGCCATGCAAGTGACGTTGTCGGATTGCGGTTGCCGGTGGGGAAAAGCTTCTAAATGTTGGATGGCCGAGTCTCCTGGCCGGGATGTCCTTGTGTCCTTGCCATGGCTGCCAGTTGGCCATGTTGTCGCCGGCTTGGGCAATACAAATTAAAATTAATGATGCACTCGCAACGGCACAGCACAACAGCGGGCAAGGCCACATAAAAACTACTTTACATGCGGGTACACGATGTCGCAAAGGCTAAGCTGTCCCACCTGGCCAAAACCCCCTTTTCAGGGGGGGGCTTCACCTAATTTAATGCTAAAATTGCCAACACCCTTCCACCTCTCCACCTTTTTGCAGGACTTTTTATCTCGGTCTGTGAAATAGTGTTGCCGGCGTTAAGGCGCCGCTTGCTAAATGCTTGTGGCTTCCACACCAGACACAAAAGAGCCAGGATGCCTCGCTCCACCTTCGCCCACATGCAGACCAGGAATTGGGTATCCTGACTGAAATTCAGGGGCGTAGGGAAACCACTTCAATTTATTTTTGACCAACATATGGCAGCCGGAAAACTGAGGATGCCATGGGATGTTTACAGGGTGCATATACAACATTGAAGGTGTTTTTAGATACATTTACATTTATTATTTGCTTTATGGTTTGCCTGTGGCGTTATAAAATCTCTAATAGGATAAATAATTTAATTACAAGTTATTATAAACAAAAAGTACTCATATTATATTGACATTATAATTGCTAGCAACATGCGGCTTTTTAGATAGATAGATATATAGATAGATAGATAGATAGATAGATATATATGTAGATAGATAGATAGATAGGTAAAAAGATATATAGATAGATAGATAGATAGGTAAAAAGATATATAGATAGATAGATAGATAGATAGGTAAAAAGATATATAGATAGATAGATAAATGGATAGATAAGATGGATAGATGGATAGATGGATAGATGGATAGATGGATAGATGGATAGATGGATAGATGGATAGATGGATAGATGGATAGATGGATAGATGGATAGATGGATAGATGGATAGATGGATAGATGGATAGATGGATAGATGGATAGATGGATAGATGGATAGATGGATAGATGGATAGATGGATAGATGGATAGATGGATAGATGGATAGATGGATAGATGGATAGATGGATAGATGGATAGATGGATAGATGGATAGATGGATAGATGGATAGATGGATAGATGGATAGATGGATAGATGGATAGATGGATAGATGGATAGATGGATAGATAGATAGATACATAGATACATATATAGATAGATAGATAGATAGATAGATAGATAGATAGGTAGATAGATAGATAGATAGGTAGATAGATAGGTAGTTAGGTAGTTAGGTAGATTGATATATTGACAAATATATCAATCGATAGATATAGATCTAAATGATTGTATAGGAAATATCATTAGTAAACATCGGATTATTTGTGGAACTTCTTAACATCCGACTTCCAGATATACAAAATTGGTTACAAATTTTTTATAAAATCATAATTAAGTTAAACCTTAATCCAAAATCGTAAAACTGTGGTTTTAATAATGGTTTTACCTTTAATCGAAGGTCAAATATTGATTTGCTTAATATATCTTTTAAAAAAAATTAAGATATCAAATATTTCTTTACTTTATGTAAATAAAATACAACATAATAAATAATGCAGTGTTTCACAAGCTACATTTTTAATCCAGGGTAAAACATAGTCGACTTTTCTTCTACAACAAGTGGTGCTTTGTTATTTCTACAAATAGCAAAACGGGTTAAAAGGGAAACCTGGTCGTCCCCTTCCATTTTAGCCAACTAGTTAGTTCGGGAATTGGGGGAAAACACGGCCAGCAACATTGTAACCGCCTTTCTGTTGTTTTTTTATTTTTCAGCTTTGTTTAGCTGGCGTTTCGCTTCCTTTTGTCAAAACAAAGGTATGTATGTTTGGAAGTGTGGAAAACGTTTTAGTGTTTTCCACTTTTGATTATTGTTTTTAAACAACAATTTTCTTTTCATCAGCATTTCAATTAGGTTCAAAGCCGACAGGCGCCATTTAAGCGGGAATTTTCGCCCACAAAAGCCTTTTACACGCCCCGATGCCTTCCAATTTCAAGTGCTTTGGCACTGCGACAAAGTAAATTAATCCATTAGAGCGCTGGCTTCGGTTTTCTCCTGCATTTTTCTTTCTTTTTTTTTTGTTGAACTTTTTAATTCTTATTTTTCTTTTTGCAGCTTGACGTGACCTGGCTTCGCTGTGGGAAAATGGAAAAACCTGACCGAAGGCAGCTTCCATCTTCAACAGCTTACACTTCAATTAAGTTTTCCCTTGGACGGCCATTTGCCGCAGAGCTGACTTCTTCGCCTGCAATTTGGCAGCAATTATTGAAGCTTTGCCAATGGCAGGAGTCAGGTCAAAGGGTCATCGGCAGGGGGCGGGGGATGGCTGGACAGCTTTGTCTACAATATAAATAAATTGCAGCCGAAGCCAGCGGGGACATGGGAAAATTTGCACTTGAGGATGGCATAAAAGCCAGTTAGATATGCATGGCCCCTTTTTGCCACAGTATTTTCCATAATTATACATGTATTACTATGTCATTCAGGGGGGAAGGGGGGCCAAAGTGGGTCAAGTACTTAATATTAAAACCCCCTCGGACGACCAGCCATTTAGGGCTAATTTTGTTTTCCAAGTGAAATATACTCCTGCGTCTCGCATATTAAATAAGCAGGCACAGTGGATTTAATGGAACAAAAAATTATGAAAAAATTATAAGATTAAATGTAGGCCTAACAAATATTTCTTGCCATGTAAATGTGTAAAAAATAATTAATAGAATTTATTAAAGATATAATATAAAAGTTTCTCTTTGGTTGGTTACAATTAAGATCCTTCACTTCCCCACTGTTTTGTTTCCCCACCATGTTTTATATACCCATTCGTATGCATAAATAACACAAAATATAAATATGACCCAAGCTGCGAGTGTGTTGACATCCAAAAAGAACAAGGCGACATTTTTCTTTTTTATCCTTATGAGGGGAGTATATCTCGTACATTATGCAAATTATTTGCACGAGTTTTCAATTTTGGTAAAATGCTTTGGGGCATTATTAAGGCTCATCGCAGAGAAAGAGTGGAGCAGGCAGGCCAAGGCAATCTTTTCTTTTCGGGAAACATGATTAAAATCCTATTTTGGAGCCCTGCGAAAAGGGGGAAATGCTCCAGAGATCGTGACTCACATGATTATCCTTGCTTCAAGCAAACTCAAATTGAGTTATGCCTCAGAGAACTCTATATACATATAAGCTTGTAAACTGGGATTAGAAACAACCCTCCGTCCATTTCATATTGCTTTGATAACAACACTTCTCCGGGGGATAGTTGCAGGCCATTTTGCAGCCTCGAGTAAACACTGCCAGCAACTTATTCACTTCTTGTTTTTCCCCCGAAAGTAAACTGCGGCCAAGGGATACGGATGATCCCGAACCCCTCGTCCTGGCCTGTTTTTCCTGTCTGTCCGTGTCCGTGTGGCCAAGTTCGTCCAGACTTTTGGCCTTTTCAGCAGCCAAATGAGCCACTGACAGCAAACGGAAAAATTTCCCTCACTGCCTGTGGATTTTCCCGTCAAGTTGGAAACATTGCTCGTCCGCCGCAAAAATAACAAAATTGTGTGCGGTCAACTTCAAGGATTCGCCAGGCTTTCCCAGCCGAGGAGCTCTCTGTTGGTCGGTCATTACTAAAGCGTTAGGAAGCAGCAAAGTTGTGGGCCCAGAACTTGGCCAGATACAAGAGCTGATTTTAATGATGTGGCTGGTATGTGTTTTTCCAAAACTTTGCAAATTAATATTCCCCGAAAAATGTTAGCCTATGCTAGTTTTAATTATAAGGAAGGAAACTTACCATCGGGGTAACACAGAAATTACTGCGATCTTGAAATCATTAAAAAAAAGTGGCGAAAAGTGTGCAACAATAAATTCTATTTTTTTCCATTGCATACTTTTAGACACCTTCATCATTTTATAAAGTAAAACATACATAAAGCATGCCAAAATTATTTTTTCGTTCCACTTTTTTTGTATAAATGTTCAGACACCGTAGAATTTTTTGAGAAGATTTATACAGTTGGTAGCTTGACCTTTAATCTTCCCTTCTGAAGCACTTTCCACTTAATCCTCTCTACCAATACCTTTTAATGTCTTGCAACCAATACAAAGTAAATGCATTTTAAGCAGATTACAGACGACTCAATTGCCCTTAATCCTTTTTGGGCAGCAGGCAATTGGATTTAATTGGCTGTACGACAACAATACCCATTATGAGCAGGGAAAATTACGCAAGGACGACAACCATAACCACGTAAGCGCATCCACATCTCACGTGTCGCCGTCAACGGAGCCACGTAATCGCTCCGAACAACTGCCTATCAATCGGGGCGGGGGACGGGGGGCACCTACACTCCAGACATCCGGGTGGCAAAAAATTAATATGGCTAGCATATGGTGTACACGATTTTAATGGTCGACATGACGAGGAACAGGCAACATCGGGCGACTAACAATAGACATGACAGGCGACTGGAGGAGCAGCAGCAGATGTCGGATGAAGTGCCACTCCCACTTCCCCAGCCGCCCCCCAATAATGTCCTAATGTTCCATCAACATGTGCTCTTATTACCGGTAATCGCCTACGGGCTGGTTTATATTTACCAAAATGTTGGTAATGGCTGCAGCATCATTATATTCTACCTTAAAGAAATGGAGAAAAATTTCAAATGCTTTTGAAAGTTAAGGTATGTTAAAATAACCCTTATAATGTAAATCAATCTTTGAATTTGCTACATTTAAAATGTATTTTATTTTTCTTATCTTTATAAACGTTTTTTATAGTACATAAATCAACCCAAAGGATGCAATAAAACAGTCATTGACAAATATATACGACAACTGATTAAAATTATTGCTATTAAATATTATGGATTTTCGATCGTTTTTATGGCTTTACAAATTAATGTTCTTTTTAAATATGTCTCGTGAATTAACAATTAAATTATATTGAGATTGTTATAATATGATATTTAATTTAAACTAACTTAAATTTAAAACTAATTTAAACTATTGTTATTAAATATTATGATAATTTTTTTTAAAGCTAGAAAAATGAATGCATTTTAAATATCTCTAGAGAACTAATAATAAAACAAGGAAGAACGCTATAGTCGAGTACCTCGACTATCAGATACCCGTTACTCAAAGGGAAATGGAGATATGCAAGCAGCAAAGCGAGATTAAAATGCGCCACCTACCGGCGGTAGACAGATTTAAGCGTTATAGGCGTTAGAGTGGGCGTGGAATTTATTTTTGGATCAATCGATAGGTATTGACGACACCAATACATTTCAGTTAAAATTTCTTATCTAGCATGCAAATTGTGGGCGTCACAGGTTTTCGCGGTTTGTGGGCGTTTAAGTGGGCGTGGCAAACTTTTTTTTAGGTCAATCGATAGGTATTGTTGAGAACAATACATTTCAGTTAAAATTTTCTATCTAGCATCAAAACTGTAGGAGTTACAGTTTTGGGCGGTTTGTGGGCGTTAGAGTGGGCGTGGCAGTCTACTGAAACAAACTTGCGCTGCGTAAGAAGCTCAGGAATCTGTACGCCAAATCTCAATAGCCTAGCTCTCATAGTTTCCGAGATCTCAGCGTTCATCCGGACAGACAGACGGACAGACGGACAGACGGACAGACGGACAGACGGTCAGACGGACAGACGGACAGACGGACAGACGGACAGACGGACAGACGGACAGACGGACATGGCTAGATCGACTCGGCTAGTGATCCTGATCAAGAATATATATACTTTATGGGGTCGGAAACGCTTCCTTCTGCCTGTTACATACTTTCCGACGAATCTAGTATACCCTTTTACTCTACGAGTAACGGGTATAAAAACAAACCTAGACTATTATAAGTTAATTCTAAATGCTTAAAATGTATTAATTCCCCTGCTTATGACGACTAAAGTCAAATGTCTGGGCAGTTAAGTTCGATCCCCCGCACATTACGCATACGCACTGTGTACGCCATTAACGGCCATTTCACATTTCCTGCTATCGAATTTCCGGTCGGGGGGTTTCCCGAAACCAAACCACACCAAACCGAAACAATCCCAGCCATTGAAGATGCTCACGTTCATGTTGATTGCACAAAGCCCTCGGCAAAGGCAGTTTACAAGAAACAAATTAATGTTTTTTTCCGTGGCCCAATGATTACGGCGATAAGTTCGCTACTTTTTTTACACTGCCTCCAAGTTGTTTTTCCTGTCAGATGAAAAGTAAACAGGCGGAGGAAAATGTTTGGCGCGTGTCTGGCGCCGAAATTGCCGGAAATTTGTTTGAGCTTTAAATTACAAATCATTATCGATGGGCATTATAAATTTGGCCAGCTCAGAAAAGGAACCACATTGGCGATTTCCTAATGCCAACGGCACTTGTAAAATCACTTTGAATAATATTGCATTTGGGTTGGGGCCCATTTCTGTTTGCCTTCGAGTTTGTCCTCTCTTTGAGCAGATTAATTTCCGGCATTTACACTTAATTCCCCCCAGTTTCTGGCTAAGACCGGCCTCGACTATCGATGCAATCAGCTAAGGACCAATTTACCAACATGTCAACGTGGACGGACGGGAATCGAAGTAACCGCAGTTGGGGATTGCGGGGAAATTGTGCTCTGGAGGAAAGCTTTAGATTTGCACACATTACCACTCAATCTTCATATACCCAGTGTCTGTGATATGCAGGATTTAAGGCCCATACCCAATCTCCCTTTGGCCAGCTAAGTCCTTTTCGCAGGACCTCGGCATGCACATGATGTCCACATGGCCGCAAAGATTTATTTACAATTGTGTTGAGACATAATTCCTTTTGATCGATTGTGGGACCCTCGCTTCCAAGGACTCTGGATGCGGATGGGGATTGGGATGTGGAGCTTTTGTGGTCAGTTGTAAGTGATGATTCTTTTGGCCCCTTGCGTCCCTTTTTGTCTTGGCTGCATTTCGTTGGGCGCCGTTTTTGCTGCAGGGTGAAAGTCGAGCAGAAAGGCAGAGAAAGTCGAGCGAAGGCAGAATTATTTGCGCAATTTATGTGGCTTTGATTTCATTGGCAAGATGTACGGTCCGGGCGAGAGCAATTTATGGTAACTTGATAATTTGTGTTAGCATTTGCCAACAGTTCAAAGGAATCGGATTCTGGGACTGGATGCAATTTATTTGCCGGACATGTGGCAATACTGCCAAATGACATTAGAATAAGGAAATTGCAATCGAGTGCTACGATATGGGGGGGGGGAGTCAAAAATGGAATTCAAATTAGGAACATACAGAGAATCCATCCGGGGATTATTTGCTCATGCATGCAATATGCTCTTCAATTACTTTTCTGGCCACACAGAAAAACAAAGGGTTGCTATACCCCCTGGGATATGAGTTATAGATCTCTTTTCCTACGAAAAAGAGATGGGAATTCGGATTTTTATACACAGAAAAAAAGTCAATTGCATATTCGTAGGGTAAATTTACAAAGTTTATTTTTTCTCTCTTTGAAAATCGAAAAAGGGAGAGAAGAGCGGGACACACGCCAAAAATTACTCTTAGTGAGAGCAATATTCAAAACTCTCTGAAATAGAAAGAGATCAAAAATCAAGATGGCGTCTACTGAATTGTATCAAAATGATCATCATATCTTATCATCTGTTTGTATCTGTGTAAGCGCTTTAAATTACTCTAAATGAGATCAAGCCAACAATATTCGAATCTCTCCCAAATAAAAAGAAAGCAAAAAACAAGATGGCGAATGCTGAATTTCATCAAAAAGATCATTATATCCCATCACTTTTTTGTATCTGTGGAAGCAACATCTCGAGTGAATGATTGGCATGCCCTGTGTGATGCAACTATAAATTCCTGCTGCTCAACCCTATCTGCACTCTCTGCAATTGAAAAGCAGTTGGTGGAACCTCCTCATTCATCAAAAATGTGCACTTAACACATGGCAGAGGCTGCATTGAGCATTGCTGCCCCATTCTTGGGTAATGCACATAAATCCTTAGAGTGCGCACTTAACTCCTTTTTATGCTGCGACAAAGTACATTTACTAATGACCAAGTCAAACAATGGCCACGGCCAAGATGCAGAGGGGAGTCCTGGCAGTCCTGGTAGTCCTGGTGGTCCTGGTAGTCCTCCTAGAAGTAAACTGGGACTGACTTCAGCGGGCTGAGGCGGCAGGAGGATTGCCCCGCGAAGTAGCAATTTACGCGCTCAAGACGGCGGCAAGCGGCAAGATGGTGACAAAGCACGCAAAGCGGAACAGCAATTCCATCTTGGGATAAGGGGAAAAGTCGGAAAGGGGGTTGGAAAATTGTCAGAAGGCTTGGGAAAATCCACAGGAAAATTCTGGGAGGGCAAGTGGGCTCCAAGCTCCAAGTGTCGGCAGCGGCTGCATGTTAATTGCTGCTGCGACGGCAGCAACAACTGCAAACAGTGGGAAAGCGTGTCTAAATAGCGTAAATTCACACAGACACACACCTCCACACCCAGGGAAAACGGAAAATCTAGCTGCGTATTGTGTGTGGAAATTGAAAAGCAAGTTGGAAAACTGCCAGGATATGCAGGACATTTTCCGCACCCTATTTGCTCTATAACTGGCTGATTAGCGACTCTTAAGATTTGAGTGATTGTTTTAAGCTGGGGTTATATTTAATGGACTTATTAATAATCAATGCAATAAAATTAAAAACATATATTATTTATTCTTTTTGAAGACATTTCTCTCTTAAAATCACTTATAAAAGTGTCTAAAAGTATGCAACAATAAATTTGATAACCGAAAGACGAAATTCTTTATTTCATTGCATGCTTTTAGGCACCCATTTAAATTATTTAAAATCATTAGTTACTTCTGTGGCAATCCCTATTCCTTTGTTACCTCCACAACTGTAAGTAAATAACCTTTTATAATCGTTTGTTGACCTGACACATGTACCTTTTGAAAGTTCATAAACGGTTTTCAGTTTATGTGCTAAGCTGATCTATAGTCGCATAGCGTGCACCACCTCGGGACTTATAGAGCGTATTACCCGACACTAGGTGTCACTTGTTAGCCTGCTAATCCACGACAGTCTGCGCTCAACAGGATATCAAGCGGAAAAGGACAAAGAGCGTTGCATACGCACAGGCTGAAAATGCAAATTTCCCTTTTGGCTGGCAATTTAAAATGTTGATGAAGTAATTAGTTTAATATGCGAAATGCCCCTGACGGTGCGGTGTGTATGTGTGTGTGTGTGGGAGGGCGTGGGGGTTTCGAGGAGGCGTGGCACATAGGAAAGTGTAATTGAAAATACTCACAGTTGTGAACGAAAAGGGACAAGGGCAAAGTCGGGGCTTGGGCATTGTGAAACTTTTTCCATTTATTAAATTTGCCACACGAACAGAGCTGCGAGTTCTAGCCAGGGAACTCTATGTGGGCAATGTTTAATTATTTGTGCAGCACATGAAATTAAAGCGGCTACAAATTGTTCAAGCCCATTCCGGTTATCAGCTACCCACAAGTTTTTCAATTAAGATTGTGACCGTTGGAGTACTTTTGCCCTAAGTCCTTAATATTGCAAAGATTTTTTTCATTTTCATTTTAATTTTAATATACTTTGTGATTTCATCTCGAAATTTAAAACGGGAACAACTCTGCCTCCTAAAAGGCAAGCGAAAGTTTTCCCTTTTGAGGCAAAGTTGCCAGTTGGTTGTCAGTTGTCAGAAATGTACTTTCCTCGAACTTGTTCAAAATATTATACATTTTGATTTACACTAAGGCCATCGACACAAAATCACAATTTGGCTGCCTTTTCAGCCCTTTTTGGTTTGAATTACTTGTTGTTCGAGTTAAAAAGTAATTCAATTAGCAACAATCTTTAAGATAATTCGTTCTCTGCGTTTTCCCTAATGAGTCTGATACACTTTAACAAGTACGAGGATTATGTGGATAGCTTCATAACCATCAAGGACATTCGCTACTTGGGCAACAAAAAGGTCCAGAGGAAGTTGATCCAGAATGCCTGCGGAAAGAGCTGCCTGGGCAGCCTGCTTACTCGCGAGCAATTCCACCAGCGAAAGGACAAGGAGTTAATCCTACTGAGGCCACGGGGAATATGTGGATCCCAACTTTTCGGCGACTATTTGAACAACAACGACGAAGTCCTCAAGCAGTTTGCCATTCGGGAGAAGAAACTGGTTGAGAAACAAATGTCGGTAAGGCACAATTAAAGTGTCATCAATAAATGGGTAAAACTTTAAAGTAAAGGCCTTATGACATTTTAATTTTGACTTGACAATCTGGAGAAAATAAGGGGCTACAACATAACATTTTAAAACGTTATACATTTAATAATTCGTAAGTTGTCATAACTTTTGAAAATAAATCTAGTCAGTTAGTCACAAGTCAGGAAAGTGTCATAAGGCCTTAATTGGCAGTCCAAAGCAAGGTAGTAGTGAAACGCGGGCCCTAGGCATTAAAATATCTTTCTTGTCTATGCACCTGCATATGCTGTCTATGGCCAAACTGCTAATTCGATCTATAGGATTTATTTAATTTAATTTTTTAATTTTTTTTTTAATTTTTCTTTAATATTTAACTATTTAGACCATTGTCTACCTGGTGATGCGCTCGAAAAAGGGTCTGGAGATCTCCAGCTTCCTCGACCTGGAGCAGAGTCTTCGGGAGTCGCGATGCCAAAGCTCTCTGGATTATGCGGACTGGCGAGGTATTTTCGAGGGTCGGAAGAAGTTGATGCCATCGCGGAACCACCTGAGCTACTTCGATTGGTACCAGAACCGAGTGTCCTACAAAAACAGTGATAACTTCAGGGTGGGAAACAAAAGGGCCCACAGCCTGTTGATAATCCATGTGGGGGATCACAAAATGTGCTGCGTAAATGCTACCTGTGACTGTGAATACACGAAAAATGTCAGCCGCGAAACTCATTTCTCCCCCACTTATGGATATGTCATATTCTTTGACCACATAATCAGGCGCATTAATTAGCGAGGGCTTTAAAACGTCAATAATACGTAATCGGGGATAAATTGGATATAAAAATAAAATAAAATGAGAATATTGTCCTCGAGGGCGCATTTGTTGTTGACAGTTTACGTAAATTGCTTTTCATATCTTATCAATTCTGGTCTGACATGGCCGCAGTTCTTGATGGACGTTTCGAGGTCCTTCCGCCCGGCAAGTCCTCCATCCATCAGGGAGCCGGAAATTACCCGAGCTTTATGCCATTTTGTTGAGTTTATCGCAGTCAGAGGACTTCAATTGCACAAATCTATTAACTGAAGCCCCCCACTTGGCCAATATGTTGCTTTGTTTGCCCATTTGCCAGTGTTTGCCAAATGCTTTGTGTCGGTCAGCTTATGACGCTTTGTTAATTTAGCTAACTGTGTGTATATTTAATTGGCCCTGCCATTCATGCAAATTAACTTGGCCAAGATTTACTTAAGAGTGCAAGCAGGCTCTCGGATAGTTTGCTTTTGCCAGGGTAAATAACAAATTAAAGTTGTTTTTATTAAGTCAAATGGGTATTGTCAGTTAATTAAGAGTAGGCTTGTATACATTGTATATACTTTAATAACCTCTGTGGACTTTTCACATTTAATGTCTGTTGTTGCTAAGTTACTTGTGCAGTTGCGAGAGCAAAACTAAATAAATAATGAATGTGTGTTAAATTATGATTTAAATGCCAACTGCAATGGCACTGCAATTTAATTTGCATATACAATTAGCTGTTAATTTATAACCTGCACTCTCCACTGAGCCTTGGCTTAAATACGCCCAGAAACAATTCAATTAAAATAAACATCAAGAGCTGCAGCCTCAGCTGCATTTGTCTTTGGTAGGTGAGTTCGCAGGTGCAAATGGAGTGTCCTGGGCTCGTAACCCAGGATAACTAATATTCCGCCCACTGGCCCGAGAGTCCAAATAAATATTTGCTCGGCTTTCCCGTAGTCAAGTCCACAGAGCAGAGCCACTCTTTCGGTTCGGTTCCATTCTGTTCAGTAACCAAGTGCCCAAGTAACTTGGGTCTATGTGTCTTTGTTCTCCATTAAGATATGGCAAATTTGTTGCCCCCAAAAACATTCACAAACAGAAGGATAGAAATTCCCTTCGGCTGGAATTGAGATTGCATTTTACGGGCTAAATAAATTTCATACGATATAAACTAGCAATTTACTGCCCGGCTGCATTTTCAAGACCAAATGCCGTAGCTTTTCTCCTCTGGCCCATACATTTTGATTAACGAAAAGAGGAAAACGACAAATTTACAGATGAAAAGTATGGAAAATGTATTACATTTTCTTCACCCTGTTTTTCGGTGTGTTTTGACAAATTTTATTGACGAACATTGAGCTCTGAGCCAGCCAATCAGTCGTAAATAATTTGGCCTATCGACCAAAATAGTCAAGTGGTTTTCATTTGATGTTGCGAAATCCAATGTATAAATTATGAATAAATATAAAGTCTGCTTGTGGCCAATTTAATTGGCCAAATGGCAAACAATAATGCAAATGAATAATTTAAGTGCCTGTGGAATTGATGTCAGAGAGCTCATGGTTATTTAAATGAAAGTGTGCAGTGCCAAATAGTCAAGAGAGTTTCAAGGAAGGAAGGATATCTTCCATGTCACTTATATTTGGAAATGAAAAAATATATATTATTGAGTAGAAATGATTTTCCCAACTAGGTTATTTTTGTACATAATTTAAAAACACTCATTATCTGGCGAAAATAAATATTTGATACTTAGTTCAGACTGCCTAATGAATATGTAGATCCTGTCCTTGTTGACTTGCTGTCAATTTGATTGGATTTATGCCCGACCTGTGGGTCACACAACCCCACAAATAATTTATGAGCTGACCCACCCAAAAGGAAGCCTGCCGTGCCATATGTTTCATTTGTTATTGCTGCCTTGACACAAAGAATATAATATTTCATAAGGTCGTAAGCTGTCGCAAAAGATGCCTAATAAATAATTTAGGCACTCAAGATTGGACATCTGGCGGAGTTACGTGAGCAAAACCCTTTCGGTCCCCGAAAATAAATACATAAAATGCCGCCATAAAGAAAACATCATCGGGCGGAAGTTGCGAAAATAAACTGGGGGCTGAGCGAAAGGCATATTAAATTAAGCTGCATGCCGCAAATGCCAAAAGGTCCTTTGAAAAGGTCCCGCAGTCCTAGCCAAGACAACAGTCATAAAATGTGACCAATAATGAAAATAATGAAGGAATGAATTAAATTAATTAAATGAAATGTTGTGCAGCAAATGAAATATTTGCTCCACTTTCTGTCTGCTGCCAGTTGCTTTCGCGGTATTTTTCTATCATAATAGAGAAAGCAAAAAGTTTGTGGAAAACGTGGCACAAACTTTTGCTAAATTAAAGCAGAGAAAGTTTCTTGAAAAGGTGAAGTAAACAGATAAATTCAGATAAACTTTTAAGCAATAATAAAATAAACACATAACACACATAACAAAAAAGTAAGGAGTTTTAACCACCGCGTAGTAATATTAGAATAAGGAATGACATACACCGTTGAACTCGTTTTAATATACAATTCGTCTATAAAAATCTTAAAATAAAATAAAGTTACATTTAAAAAGATTTCTTAAGTATGCTTTTTAAAAATATTTCCCATACTACATATCAGCATTAACAAACCCTTGTTAAACTTCTTAAGAAGGCGAATTTTTCATTTAAATTCCTAAAACGGAACAGAAAAATAATAAAATAAATATCAATAGAACCAAGCCCATATTCAGGAAAATAGAACTCTATATTTTACTAAAGTAAAACGAATTATAGCTCCAAATATTTCCATAAAATTCCATAATTGGGCGTATCAAAGAATACAAAATTCATTTTAAAAATCATCAAATAAAACAGGGTAACATTCAATAAGAGTTGTAAAGAATGCTTTTGGAAAATATTACCCATTCGACATGTAAGCATTCGTCAGCAACTATGCAACTTCGCTTTAAAGTTCTGATTCAATTGGCAAAAGTTGCCAGCAACTAGAATAGCATGCCAAACAAGGCAAATTTATGGGCCAAACAAAAGCTTATAAACCACAAATCAAAATGCAATACAATGCAGCAAAGCAGCAACAACAATTACCAGCACGTATCAAGTTAAAAGCAATTGTGAATTTTCTAACTGAAGTCATATTGTCTATACATTTATCAAATGTCTGTCTGTCTGTATGTCTGTGTTTCAGTTTGTGTTTTGGCGGATGCCATAAATAAAACTCAGCCAAAAGATAGACATGAAAAGAGGAAGAGTCTTGAGTCGGAAATTGTTTCGCAACGTGGGAAATGTTTGATTTATGTCTGTTTTGCCAGTGACCTCCTGTGGGATCCTATGCGATCCTACACACGAAGAAAATCCATGGCTAAAATGTACAAATTTTATAGTACAACTACCATAAATTGATAAGTTGTGTGTATTATCTTATTTGGAGAGTAACTATTTCATTTGTAAAATTCATAATTCGATGTCTTGGGACCATTTAATAATCATATTGGTAAAAACTTACATAAACATTTTGCTGTGTGTACTATGGTATCCCATAGGAGTTGGAAAAACACACAGAGCAGTTGTAAAATGTGTAATTGATGATGTGGCAGAAAGGACATAAAAAGGAAAACAGAATACGTCAGGGCTTACAGGCTTCCTTTTAAATATGGTATTAATGCCTGGATTTTGTTGACATTTTCGACAAAACATCTACAAACTGCGGCAGTAAAGTGAACAAACTCCCGAGCCAGAACCCCCAGCATGATAAGTGCATTTTGGAGTGCAGGACACGAAGAGCGTGACAACATGCAAAATGGAGTTAGGGGTTGGGGAGAAGGCGAAGGCGACAAGACAGGACAGGCAACTAAGCCAAACGGAAACGGAAACTGCATGCAAAAGAATGAAGAAGAGCGGGAGAGATAGGAAATGTAATGTTGACCATTTGGCAAGCAGCACGAAAAGTCATTTTGTTCAACGAAAAATAAGTAAGGATACGACACGGAACACCTTGCTTGTTATCCTGGCAAATATTTTTCACCCGACACAAAAGCATATTATCTTTGGGGGGAGGGGGGTGGCCGAAGTGGACGAAAAATTCCCATTTGAAGCTTAACAAATTGATTTTTTAGTTGGAATTCCTGCCCCGCAGTTGCCACGTTGCATGACAGTTGCTCATAGCAGTGCTGAACACATTTTCCCCGGGTGATATATGTGTATGCAACCTTTGGTGGCATAGTCTTCATTGCTTAATGCACTGGAAACCTAAAACCCTCGCAACCTCCTCTGGGTCCTCGAAGCATTGTTTGCTCTATACTTTTCGGGGCATAAATAAATTTTCATTAATTTATGTGCCGGCGAGGACGCTCAACGGCATTCTCATAATGTGCGGCATAAGTTTGTGCCCCCAAAAAAAAAGAACGAAGATGAAGAGGTTTTTCAGGGGGCTGGTGGTGGTTGCACAGCAAACATTATGGCCACGCCGAAGAGTGCATCCTGGGCGCCTGAAGCCTTGAGTCCCGAAAAGACGGCGGATATTAAGATGAATCTCCCGCCTGATATACAGCCAACTTTGGAATAGCTAATGAAGCCGGCAGAAGCCATGAAAAGCCTGAAAGAGCCGCAGAACCAACAAAATATTGCCTTGCATTTTGTGCCGAAAGTTGAAGCCATTTTTGAAACCACACTTACTGTCATTTTCGCACAACTCCCAGTGGAAAGTATCAACTTTATTGTTGATTCTGTGCATTTTCCGCTTGAATGCCCTCCCCTGGGTGTTAATTAATTTTTTCATTTGTAAATTTCTATCGCAGACAATCAAATTAAAGCCAACTTACCAACTGCCAAACAGACCGCAGTGGCAGTAACCATAGTGGAGTTACTTCAGTAACAAAAGTAAAAAAAAACCGAACCAATGGCAGTAAATTTTCCACGGTTTTCAGAAATAACTCACTTTGCGGAACAATTAAGTCCATCACACCTCGGACAGCGAATAAAACTGTTGGTAAAATACCCAGGAATAAAAATGGAAATCCATGGGTAATATATTCATTCATGGGTAATATATTTAAAGATCCTACCCCTTTTCACTGAAATTGGTTTATAAGTGAGCTTGTTTCTTAAATATTGGATATCTTATTCACGGTCAATTCTCCGACGCCATTTTATTTATTTTTCCTATGGTGCTTATAAAGCCTATTATAAAGTATACCTCCCGGGTTGCTTCTCCTTACTTCTTTTCGCCCCAATATATACAAATTTTTTCTGATGGAGAAATGCTTATTATTCTTTCGGCGATTCGTTTTATTCCAGCCAACTTGACGTTGTCGTACTTATCCGTACCGGGATCATAAAAACTTTCTGAAACTATATATAAGATTTTTCACATATTCGCAGCAGATAATTATACCCGTTACTCGTAGAGTAAAAGGGTATACTAGATTCGTCGGAAAGTATGTAACAGGCAGAAGGAAGCGTTTCCGACCCCATAAAGTATATATATTCTTGATCAGGATCACTAGCCGAGTCGATCTAGCCATGTCCGTCTGTCCGTCTATCCGTCTGTCCGTCTGTCCGTCCGTCCGGATGAACGCTGAGATCTCGGAAACTATGGGAGCTAGGCTATTGAGATTTGGCGTGCAGATTCCTGAGCTTCTTACGCAGCGCAAGTTTGTTTCGGCACAGTGCCACGCCCACTCTAACGCCCACAAACCGCCCAAAACTGTGGCTCCTACAGCTTTGATGCTAGAATAAAAATTTTAACTGAAATGTATTGTTCTCATCAATACCTATCGATTGACCCAAAAAAAAGTTTGCCACGCCCACTTTAACGCCCACAAACCGCGAAAACCTGTGACGCCCACAATTTTCATGCTAGATAAAAAATTTTAACTGAAATGTATTGGTCTCGTCGATACCTATCGATTGATCCAAAAAAAAATTTGCCACGCCCACTCTAACGCCCATAACGCTTAAATCTGTATACCGCCGGTAGGTGGCGCATTTTAATCTCGCTTTACTGCTTGCATATCTCCATATAGCTGAGTAACGGGTATCTGATAGTCGAGGTACTCGACTATAGCGTTCTTCCTTGTTTTTAATTACCTTGGTAAATTTTGATACATTGATTAAAGTTGGCATAGAAATAGGGTTTGACTATGTTATTGTCTCGATTGATTTAAAATTTGCATGTAAAGACTCTGCAAAAAAACTCATAAATACATAAGCCCTCATTTTCAATGTAAATAAGTTTTTCTTCTGTATATCCGCACTTTAATAATATTAAAAAAATATAATTAATGTAACATTTTTCTCTTAGTTGTATAGCAGGCAAATTGATAAGGGCTACAATCAGTTGTCGATGTATTTTAATACACTGACGAGCAAAATTTAATTTTTATTTTGACTGACAAAATGTATATATATTGAATTGATTTGAGCATTTATTGAATTTAGAAGATGTTGTTTTCGACTATGTAATTGAGCATTGAGTGATAAGCACAAATCTGATTTCAGTGTATGTTGTTTTTGAGTCATTTACAACAAAAATCCGATTTCAGCGTATGTTTATTATCAGCAATAAACAAAAAACCCAAATTTAGCGGATGCTTTCGAGCAATAAACAAAAAAGTAAAAATAAAGATGAGCAAAAAATACTTGCAATAATAAAAATTCCAAGTACTGTTCGAATGATAACCCGAACTTTCAAAATGGAATTCGCGGAAATGTACATTCACAGAATCACTCGTATTGACTTCTAAGATCATCAAAGTCAAATTCCATCTCAAAAGGTCCATAATCCATATCCGGCCAACAACTTAGCTTTAAAAACAGATGTAGTAAACTCTTAGAAATTACCATCATGAGATTCCAACCAATGAGATCACACATCCATAATCGCGACTAGACTTCATATTTCGACGATGAATTTAATATAAAAAGCCTTGCTATGAGCAGTCACAAATCAGTTGTTATTCTTCGTCGCTACAGCTAAGATGAAAGCAGTTACTTCAATAGTTTTGGGATCAATCCTTGTGTTGTCCTTATTGAAAAATGTAGTAAGTTGAAATTACGTCTATATTTTTTTTCACGTATTTTTGTGATGTTCAGTTTATAAGCTGTTCAAGTGCAAAGCTCTCTAGCTTTAATATATTTTATATTTTATTTCACAAAAGTTTCATTCTTTTTTTTGTATAGACCTATGCAAAAGAACTTCATCTCGACTTACCGGCAACGCACGATTACCCATCAAATGGTACACTACAGTGTAGTCAAGGGTTTCACATCGTGGTTAGAAAGGCTACTTTATTTCATAATGGTAACAGGAACGAAAAAGCATGGTATCGGCCAAAGATGGCGTGTGATTTGGAACAAACATGCGACTTTAAACTTGTACGAGAACAATATAATTATCTGAATCCAGCGCCGACAGGAGCCTTTCAACTTACTATTAATTACGATTGTAAACAAGATGACTTTCAAGGAATTCCAAGAAGGATAAAAGACTATGGAAGAAACCAAGACTGTCCCAATGACTCTTTTCTTCAGAAACACGTTGCTTATTTTAACGATGAAAGAATCGCCATTGATTCGCAAGCGGCAAACATGGAAAGGGAAGTGATTGCCATGAGCGTCTGTGCTCAAGTCAAACGTTTTAGGGACCGCAATCCAAGACCGCCAATGGATCCATATCTTAACACAGTGTTTTTAATACATGAAAAAAATACACTTAAGAAAAATTTCGAGCCGAGTCCACGTGAAAACACTAAATGTCAACTTACGAACGAGGCTCTGGCCCGTTCATTTAAATATGAATGTCGGAAAGGAACCAATAAATGGACATGTAATATGAGTAGCAGGAGAACTGACGTGGCTAAACATGACAAAAATAATAGCCATTTAGGCTAGGAAGCAAGGCTCGATCCAAAACCGTAACCATAACCGAATTTCCTCCCAAAACAACACAGTGTACTGCAGTTTCGGAAAAAACTGTATAATAAAATCATACTCACAATTCAATATAACATGTATACAAAGAAAATAACAATTTATAGCTTAACAAGTAATAAAATTTTTTGTTTGATATATCAATAAATGTTTAACAATCATAAATCTCTCTTTTCTTTCCTTGCCTTTTTGACATTTTCCCCGCAATATCTGCATGTTTTTATTGATCATTTCCATTATCATCTGCAGAACGTTTTAATATAATCGACAATGTTTTTGTTTTGTTTTTGGGAAAGCTTATCTCTGTCCAATAAGTAGAAAATTATTTTATTCCCAATGCAATACAATCAAGTTTCATCAAGTTTTGAGCAGTTTATATATAGTTTTCCGTAATTCAGAAAAAATTTGATAATCGATATGCTGCACAGAGTTGACGGTCTTTGGTGACATCCAGAATATGAAATTCACCATTTTGGCAATGAAATAAAAATAATTTATACGAGACGTACAGAAACATTACCACCAGTCTACAAAATAATCGATTATCGTGCTGTTTTCAGGATCCTATCTGACGTTCAATGTCAGTCATGTATTTGGAAGAAAAATGTCATACTACAATCCGAAATCCTTCAAATGACATAATAGCAAAATTTGTATTTTAAAAGACCACTAATTGATATGGAACCAAAAAAACTATCTTACTCATCGACACAATAATTTACTATCTATTTGGGTTATTGAGTTATTCATATTTTTGTTTTTGAATTATTATTATTATTATTTGGCATTTGTGTTGAATCAATTTGGTATTTGACTTTATCCGTGTCAAGGCCATTAAAGAAGTACATCTATTAGGCTAAAAATTATGTTACGTTATTTTTAGGGATGTTCGTTTGTTAAAAAAAAAATATTTAAAAAAATTTCAAAACATTTAAGATAATTAGGACTTTGTAAAGGGCACCTATCAAGCTCAAAACTCGTCAGAACAGGATATAAAAAAACATATGGTATTCTCAAATGTGGTTTTTACTCCCCGTGGTTTGTGGTGTTGGAAATCCCGATGGGAGGTCTTTTGGAGGAAAAATGCGCCGCCACTGTTGACATTGTTCCATTTGCACTCAATATGCGGAGACGTGGACATGCGCTTTTGTTGCTCCCATTGTAATTGTTTCGTTTAACAACTTTTAATTGAATATTTCAGGCGGCCGACGGTGTGTGAGTGTGTTTATTCACTCACAAAATGCGACGGCAGGGCATTGATCAATTGTTTACACGGTTTAAGTAAATAAATGCATTTAAACCGAGCCGGACCATGGGATTACCCGCGTTAATTGCGCAAAAAAGCGGCCACTGCGGAGACATTAACTACGACAATCGGCTGGAAATGGATGGAAAGGAAAAACCAAAAGTGAAAGCCGATTTCCGTCCGGGGCAGAAATCGATGGAGCTCGGAAAAACAGTAAAACAGAGCTGGCCAAAAGGTGTTGGTCGCCGCCATTGTTTATTAGTTTTAATAAAGCCATAAAAGGGCCTGCAGGACAAACCATATAGGCGCACAAACATACACGCGTTGAACAAATAAACTTTGACACTAAGCGCTTTAGCAAATGACCTAGGGTTTTATTATCGCCAACGACGCTTTGTTTTGACACCCTGGGTATAGTATAGAGGTCAAAAGTACACTCAGGTGTCACGGGCACAATGGCAGTGCACAATCAGATACAGATTGCATCGGTCTTTTTGTTGAAATGAACAGGAATTTAATTAATGTCATAGTCAAAGGTCAATGAGGTGTGGAAATTACTCAAGTTTATTTAATTTCATAATGTGTTTTCTTAAAAAAAATATTTTAAAACCTTTAAAAAATATTTGAGACATACTTTTTAACATCAAAATTTTCTATAAAAAGTAGTCTTTTGCACTCAAGAAGATAGAAAAAATTCAATTTGATACCGAAAAATAATATGTATTCCCTTTGGATTTTTTAGCAGTTCTTTAACTATACATATAAAATCTTTTTAGGTGCATAATGAGGTACCTCCAAGGTCTATACACTCCCATAAAAAGGTCTTCTTTTTACTTCCTTTTCGGCGGCTCATATCAAAAATTCCCTAGCCATTGCTAAACCTTTGGGCAAAGCCAAGTAAAACGAACATCGCACAACTGCAAGTTTTGTTTGCCCGTCTGTATATACGATAAATGTATATATGTGAATGGTGGCATATAGTGTTTTATGTGCAGGGTGTGTGTGTGTTTTTGCGGGCATTTTGTTGACAATATTGTTTACAATTCGAGGGCTGCGGAATGGTAGAGGCGGAGGGCGTGCCGCAGCCATATACCCACACTATTTGCATACATTTTCGGATATGACCAGGGCCAAAATAAAACCCGAAAATATATTGCGTATACGCCGCAGTGGGCACAATGGACGGCACAATGATCGGTAGCTGAAAGAGCTGCGAAATATGGCTTATTCTGGGATGCAGACGAAAGCCACGATAATAAACCCATTCAAAAGATGAGAGTTTTAAGGGGCGGTCTACTGTAAGCAGTGATTGATGCCTCATTGTTTAAGTTCCCCATCCAAATATATTGCCTTTCAGCTAAAAACGTTATATCCCTTTTCATATTTAATAATAATTTAATTAAAATCATTAAAGTTAAAGTTAAATTTAAAGTAAGGAAGTTTTCAATGTGGCAAAAGCGATTGAACATATTAAAACATCACCCAAAGACTCTGGTTTCTTGGGACATTAGCAGCCCAAAATGTAAGCACCTTTCTGGTTTTCAGCCCCATTCCTTCAGCAACACATCTTGGAAAAGCCAACTTCATTTAAATTTAAACCAAAAGACCCAAAGCTTCAGGATAATGCCGTTTCCTTGGCACTGACACTGAACCGCCCATCACACAATGCCGTATATACACTCCTATAGTATGGTATTCACCCCCTATATGGTCGCTGTCTGTGGCAGATATACGATGTGTGTACACACCTGCTGTGGTGACATTTTACGGCTTTTTCTTTGTTAATTTCATTTGAGGCATTTAAAATGTGCACCAACGCCGAGGAAGCTGCGGCTGACAACTAAATACACAAGGAGCCAGCCGCACCTCATCAGATACAAGTCACCGCCCACCGCCCACTTCCTCCTTCGAACGTGCCGAAAGTTGTGCTCAGCCAGTCTTTTGGCAACTTTTTTAATGACTTTGCCCCACAACCCACAACCCCCAGCACAATGGCACAAAGCCTCTGCTCGCGTGCCCGAATATTTAACCACAAACGACGAGACGTCAAAATTAATTAGAAATAAAATTAGTTTTTAATGCCAACGTGTGTCTGTGTGTGCCAGTGTGTCTTTAAGAGCTGTAAAATACATGTATCTTGACAGCGGGCGGGGAAAAAAAGTAAACCCAAAAGTAAAGGGAGACGAAATTCTTCTCAAAACTTTGGGCGATGAAAAGTTTCAGCTCGTCTATGTTATGTGAGGATGAGTTAGGACAGGAAATGATTTAATCTCCGCAAGTTTTGCTATTACTTTGTGTGGGAGAAGCGTAAAAGACATTGCAACTAATAAGTTTAGGAGATGTCATTAATTTCCGGAACCAACTTTTTAAATTGTGGCACATATCTAATAAAAGTAATTTAGAGGTATAAAGTTAAAAAGGATAAAGACAAATCGGGGATTTAACGAATTTAAAAAGTATTTAATCTCAGCCTAGTAGTATGCAGTATTTCTTGGTTATCTTTATAAGTGACTTCATATCAATACAGACTTTTTTACTAAACTTTCAGTTAGATTCTTTTTAAGACCTATTAAAATTACAATAAAAAGGCAGATGAACCTACAATGCGGGTATAGTAATATAAGCACATATCTGTTTTAAGTCAAAAAAGAGTAGGACTTATACGGAGATTTAGCAAATCTCATTTCTCGCAGCCTAAAAGTATGCAGTATTTCTTGGTTTCCTTTATAAGAGACTTAAAATCACTAGAGATTTTCTTTAATAAATATTGAGTTGAATTCTATTTAACGCCCTATTAAAAACAAAAGAAATTTCAGAAGTATCTGCGATGCGGGCATAGTAATAGAAGCAAATATCCCTTTTCCATTTCGTAGACATACAAATCGGTGAGACCAAAGTGCAAGCTTTACCGTACAGTAACCCCCACGTAGAAGCCCCCGGTAAAGTCAAGTTAAAGCCAAAAAGCGAACTTTCAGCCGGAAAACCAACGATGTGCATGTGAAGTGGGACTAAGACAAACGGGCCAAGAGTCGGGAGAAAGGAGAAAGGCGATAGGAGACAGGAGAGCAGGCTGACAGGCAGTCAGAAAGCCAGTTGGAGATGCTCAGAAAAGGACGGGTAGTGAAAAAGTGATAGGGACAGGGAGTGGGAGACCCACACAGCGACAAATCATCAGGCAAATCCGCAAAAGTGCACTTCAGTTGCCTGTCGCCCATCATCGCAGAGCAAAGCCAAAAGACGCTGATGACGTTGAGTATTATGAACGGAATGATGACAACTGGAACCACAACAACTGCCACTGCAGCTACAACTACAACTAACGAAGGCGAATACAAGAGCGAACAGGAATGAGCTGCACTGGAAAAAAAACAAATACATTATAATAATACCATTTAAATTGAATTTAAGTAATATCTATAGTGTTGTATTTGTTACATACTCTTTATTAAAAAACAATCCATGATATGAGAAATATTTTATAAAGTGTCCTAAAAGTAGGCAGCAATACATTTAACACCTGAAAATAAACGGTTTCCATTCGAAGGAACTTGTTCTATTTTTTTCTGCATACTTTTAGACACTTCGAAAAGTTATTTTAAAACCTTAGTGATTTTTCGTCTAATGAAATACAATTTTTTCTGTGTAGACATTTCTTATAAGTAGGTTTAGGTTTATAATTCAGGTTTTAAATAAATAACGAAGGTTTTATAATCATTTTTAAGTATATCTAAAAGTAATCCACAATGTATTTAAAATCCGGAAAATAAATGGAATCCTTTCCAAAAAAGGACAAATATTTTTCTTTGCATACTTTTAGACACCTTTAAAAGGGATTTCGATTC